GAACACGTCCTGTACTGAGCTGTAAGAAACGGAGGCTTGTTCGACCCAGCAGCATCGTTCCTCTTTCCAAGAAGGTCAGTACCAATGAGACTTGGTCACTGTCAAAACAGTGAGCCAGATGCTCAGATAGAGGGATTGTCTCTTCCCAACTTTGGTTTAACTAGTGTTTTCCAAACTTGGCTAACCACCAAGATTTCCTAGGGAGCTTTATAAAATAGTAGGTTCCTGGGCCCTGTTTCCTAGAGATACTGAATCATTCACTCTGGAGTTGGGCCTGGGAATCTGGTTTTCAGAAAACAAAAAGCTCCTAGGTGACTCTTCAGCCAGGTTTGGCTTGAACTAATTTTAACCGAAATGAGAGAGATTGAAAGTTTAAGTGCTGCCATTAACACTTTGAAGGAGATTGGTGTTTCTTTTCACTTGTTCTTTTATCACTGAAAATGATATTGTAGAATGCTTTGTCTTAAAAGAGACTGTCCAGTATAATTTATAAATTGCTATTAACTTAGGAATGTTTGTCTCCACAAAGAAAATGGAGATTAATTCACAACTGTAGGGAACTTTTGGTTGCTAACTCTTCAAGTGGAGTTGGCTTTTCCAAAACTAATGAAATAATACCCTAGTAAAATAACTGCAATGCAGAGGTTAAGAGCATTAACTTTGAAGATGATAAACTTGGGTTTGAATCATGGCACTACAGTTTAGTAGTTTTGTGATTTGGTGCATGTTAACCACCCCTGCCCCCACCGTGCCAAAGTCTCATATGTCTCATATGATGATTTGAGGATTAAATGGAAATGTATGTAACATGCTTATTGGGGTGTCTGGCTGATAAGTTCCCAGTACAAAGTGACTGTTACTGTTACCACTTTTTTGTCCACTCATTCATTCAACAACTGTTTGTTGGCCTCCTGCAGTGAGCTAGACCTGTTCTAGGAACTGGGAATACAACACTAAACAAAACAGATGAAAATCCTCACCTCTTGCCTATAGTATTGAATTCTGGAGAGAAAAATGCAGCAGAGGAGAATAGAGAGTGCTGGGAGCTCAGATAAGGAAGAGGTATGGAGATTAGGCCTTTGAGGTATTCTAAGGCTTAGAGATATGAAAGATGAGGGTAAGGAGTGACTAATAAAGTAGTAGGAAAATCAAGGGTGTGAAGGCAAGTGAAGAGTGTTTCAGAGAGGAAGGAGTGATCATCTGTGCCAGGTGCTATCGACAGGTCAAGTAATAAAGACTGAGAATTGAGACCATTGAAGTTGGTGGGTTGTTGGAGACATTGGTGAGCAGTTTTGGTAGAGGGAGAAGAGGGTGAAAACTTGGTTAGAGTGGGTTCAGGAGAGAATGGGACATAAGGAATTGGAGGGAACCATTATACATAATAGGTAATACTTTCAAAGAATACTGCTTTAAAGGAGAACAAAGAACCTGTTTGGAGGGGAATCTTTCTTAAGGCGCCTATTAACAACATACTTGCTGTTGATAAAAGGGGAGAGGAGAGAATTGCTTGGAACCATTAATATTTGGACAGTGAATTTTCAATGCTTGCCTTGTTTTGTTCTGGTATGCAATTGTACTATATAAGTTTGCCATGATCTTTTTAAAGGAAAGTATTGCGAGAGTTGACTGTCAGGCGGCAGTACCATTTCTATTATATAATGGTAGAGTCTGTTCCTCACACTCTACTTGTCATACCAAAATACCAGAAATAGGAAAGAATAAGATATTTGGCAGGTTTCTCAGATTGACATTTGAGTCCCTCAATTTTTTTATTAGTAGTCATGTAAATCTAAATGATTTTCTGAAGAGTTGATAACAGGAAAGCTAGAAAACAGTGTATTACTGTCAAATGTAGGAAGGTAGTTTTTTGTCATGTCCTTGATGTTTTTAGTTGTGCTTTTACATTAAATAACAACAACCAAAAAAACATATGGAAAAATAGTGTTCTTCCTGTTTTGGCAGTTTGCCAGCCACTATGTCATGACATCGAGGGGTGTTATAAAAATGTTCTGAAAAATAGGGTGGCCTCCTGGATTTTTTATTAGTAGTAATAGTAGTATTAACTGTCTGTGAAGTAGCAAACCTTCTTCTGATCCATGCCTAAAAACTAGTGTACTTTTGAATATACATGTACAATTTTAAAAGACATTTGAGAGAGGAGGTAGGCATACAGCTAAAGACCCTTTGGTTACAGTGCCAGTTTCTTAAACAGAATCATTCTGACACACAAAATAAGCTGCATGAAAAACAGATAAATTGACTTTAGGACATAAATAATTACTAGGTATAGCAGAAACTCTAGAGTTCTGGCAAAGCTGGAGACAAATGCCATTCCTTCTGTCTTGATTGCTTACTGTGTCTCACATACCTCCCTGCTCTTGATGTGCACTCAGTGGTATTTGTTAATTAGCAAACATCTTGCCTTCTAACAAAGTTCTTCCCTTCATGGAGCTTACTTTCTAATGACAGAGCAAAGAAGTTAACAGATAAATTATTTTCTGATACTGATAAATGGCAATGAGTTCACATTTGTAGTGGTAAAATGTGCTTTCAAGTTTCTGAAGAAAAGAGAACCTATTGGAATTATGTTTCTAGATTAATTCAAATTACAGTTATAATTGGTCTCCCCACTCCTCCCTCTAAAAGGTGAGTTCTAGTATATTTATCAGATTATAGAAAACAAATGATTAATGTCAATCTTTTGGCCTTACCTACATTTTAAATGATCTCTCTGGCATTCCAGAACCAAATATAAAATGCACTTTAGGAAATTACTTCAATTGCTGCTTTTTTTAAGCGGCTGTTGGCTTAGTTCAGTCATGGCTGGA